TTTGGCGACCTGTATCAGACATGACCCATCAATTTGAACAAAGCCCATAAGTCATATATAGCGACCAGCAGGTTCTTAATAATCCCACTATTTTTTTAGTATTAAGCAGAAAACAGAAGATTTCATAAATCTCATTAATTTCCTAGGGGTCACCAAACATGGCTGCAAGTTTGCATTTATCTTGGTGCATCACAACTTGTGGAGGGCTGAGGTAGAGACTGCAGGCATGGCAAACAGTTAGGATTTGAACCAACTTTCCATAACTCGTATGCTGCTTCATGGGCCACACTGCCTCTTAATATTGTCCAGTGCCTTTTATTTGTGTTTCACAATGTGAATGAGAGCATAAGTAGAGAAGAAGAAGAAGAAGAGTTTGGATTTATACCCTGCCCTTCACTACCCAAAGGTGTCTCAGAGCGGCTTACAAACTCCTTTCCGTTCCCCTCCCCACAACAGACACCCTGTGAGGCTAAGAGAGCTCTTGACAGAAACTGCTCTTTTTCAAGAACAGCTCTTATCAGAGCTACGGCTTGCCCACGGTCATCCAGCCAGGTGCAAGTGGAGGAGTGGGGAATCAAACCCAGTTCTCCCAGATTAGACCACTACACCAAACTGCGCTACTCCTTACTCCATCAATAGCTCCTTTGTCTTGTAGCTTCCTTAGCTTCAGTGTTTACGTGTGAGCCTGGAACTTCTGAACTTAGATTCAGGAGCAGTTTTCAGAGCCAAGCCCACAGCAGCACAGGTAGACATAATATGAACATGTGCACATTTTTTCTACACTTTGCATATCTAGGGTGAAGAGCCAAAAGGTGATTCCTGACTTTGATCTCTGTAGAAATTAAGCACTGCCTGAACTGATGTATTTGCTAATGAACAAGCTCTTCTCGCAGATACTTTCTTCAATGATTTGTGCAATGTGTCATTTCAGAATGCTGAAGCACAAGTGGAAGAAGTGGAAGATAAAGCAAGTCCCAAAGCAGTGATGTTAACCCAGCAACCTTCAGAAGACAATGAAGTATTTGGTATGTAGTTTCAACAATTAGAGACTTCGTAATATGCTTTATATCTTGCTAAACAAGCGTGCATAACAAAACTCACACTTCTTTATCTGCCCCAGAGTTGGCAACCCCCAGGAGCATTGGGGAGGCAAGCAGAGACTTTGCAAACCAACATCACACCGTGCCATGACCTCAGTTTCTCTTACATACCCAGAAATGACATCACGTTCCTAGAGCATTGTGCAGTGCTGTGACATCGCTTCCAGGGACACAACCAGAAGTGATGTGCAACACCATTTCCCCCCTGATTTATGCTCCCACTGTTCCATCAAGCAGTGGCAGGAGCCCAAAGCACAGGGGCAAGTTTCCTGGCACCCATAACTCTATACCAGTTTTACAGTACTAAAGATTCTGAACTCACCTACTGAACTCCAGTGGTTTCCCAGAGCTAGACACCACCCCAGATGATTTTTATTTACTGTGCTGGGGAATGCAAGCTGTTTTCATGTGTAAATATGGGTCTGCCAGTCATGTGAGAAAGGAAGGGTTGGGCTCTGATTTTTACACCCAAAGGGCATATGCAAATGAGAAATGCAGATCCCCTCCGTAACCCTACCTTACTTCTTTGTAAGTTTTCCCCTTGATGCACTTTTCTTTGCAGTGAGCTCCTGTTTTGGAAGTGGCCTCAGTTAGGCAAACAGTAGTTGGCGGAAGGTGTTAAGAAAGGGAAATCATAGGAAGGAGAGCGTGTTCTGCATTCCTCACACATTTACCACTTCTGTTTTAAAACAAAATGCAGAGGTAGTCAGGGAGAAAATCAAACTCCGTTTCCTTTTTATGTGTTTTGCTGTTTCCTCATATTTTTCTGTTGTTAAAATCTGCCTAATTTTATATACCATTTTGAAATTTATAGACTATTGCGAAGCACTGAAAGTGATACACAGAAAGGTATCCTACTAAAAGTGTCAAATGTATTTTATTTAGTTTTAAATTTGCAGCATTCCTCACATGAATTTTCAGGTCTTCTCTACTGTTTATGCAAATTAAATTTTTAAAGAAATTTTATCATATGTGAAGCAGCCCAAAGAAATATGGAACTATATGTTGTCGAAGGCCATGGCCATACAGCCTGGAAAATCTACAACAACTAATATGGAACTATATTAAGAGACCCTTTACTTTGAGGGCCAAAGGTATTTCACACAGCTGGTCTCCTGTATAAAAGAAATGTGGCTGTTATGGTAAAATACTTCAAAAAACCTGTTTCACTTCTACTGTCTTACTCTTGCCATTATATATAAAAGTAGAATTTAGCTTTCCAGTTTCAGCATGACTTGAATTCCTTTTGCTGACAGGTAGAATGCCCCTGGGGGATTGGAACCTGGCTCACAAAGATGAGGATTTTTTTTGAAGAGGTCACTTCTTCATCACTTTATGCTCTGAGTAACCCACAGTGTGGTCTGGAGAAAAGTGTTTTTGATCATCCTTAACTGAAAAGTGAATGAAGAGTGAATGTTACACTTAATTTCCACCTTTAGCCTGCCTCAGAAAACATCTTACATGTTGCTCAGATCTCTTGTCCAAGCCAATATATGATTTAATCTCTTAATTTGTAAAATTCCATGTATGCTGGCACAGTATGAATACATAACTATTATAATTTTTTTCGGCTTGTTCATTTTTATGAAAAGCCAACCACAAGCCAAGATTTTTCTTATTTCTTTAGTCCCATTAATGTGTTCAAGGACTGAAGGGGAGCCATTTTGTGCAACAGTCTTCTTAACATGTTGACCAAATGGCAGACAATATCGTCTTTACAAACAGTAAATCTAGATTTAAGGTATCATATCTTTGCCTGCACATCGCATTCATAAAAGAAGGCTGGAATATTTCCTCTCAGTGTATATAAATTAAAATAGAGCTATTTGAATACTATATCAAGTAATCTAAGCTAAGCATTTGAATTCTTGTACTCCTGTTTCCTCCTATGGGCCTCGGCAGTGAAGGACTGTTTAATATGCAATGCTGGTGCCTCCAGATGTAAGTAAGCCTGGGGACAAGAAGCTTTGGAGTTCTAGCAGATTAAAAGAAAGAACACAGGAACTACTGTGAGCCTCATCATGATAGATATTGGCATCCTTGAACCCAAAATTTCTCTTTGCTAAAATTCACTGAACTAGCAAATCATGAAATCGATGTATGTTTGTCTGTGTTGACTGCCTTCTTCCGTGGGCAATTCTTGGTCCGCAGTAATCATATGTGCAGAGCTCTCAGCTCTTCTTAGGTCTTACAGTCTATGGGATGGTGATGTAACAGTGAATCAAAATTACCTTTTATATTATATGCAATTATATTGAAGGGATTCTTCTCTGATAAATGCTTTCTACTTACAGCCTGGGCTATGAGAGTGTATATTACCTGATGACTATTGGCTCCTTGTTAATGGGCATGCTAGGGTAATGCAAACCTAATTCCCATGCGTTTCCATAGGCAATCTAATTTGATAATTATCAAGAAAGCCCTTAGCAGTATGAACAGCTCCTCTGTTTGAATGCTGTTTTCCATGTCACACCTAGGCAGCTGCAGCTTCCCTGACTAAAGCTGCCGCCAGCATGGCACATTACACTGATTGAATAAGTGGGAAAGGCTTGCAATTGCAAGCGTTCATTTCTGAAGCATACTGGTGCAACATGCTGTTCAGCAGAGAAAAGCAAATTAGGTTAGGAAAGAACTAGGGAATTTTGTCATGTTTCTCGATACGAGATTGCGGTTTGATGCTTAAAAACCTCTTGCTAGCAACTAGTAATAAAATGCATTTGTTTCAATTGTACCTCTCTTCAGCCCCAGCAAATAGATTCCAGAGCAAGCTAAATAAATTAATAAGGCTCAGTAAACTGCTCTGAGTCCAAATCCAGACATTATATTGGCCTACAAAGCAAATTTTCTATTACGCTGCTTGCCAGGAACTCCCTAAACATAATAGATAACCAGAGGACAAACAACTGAAGGACAGAAATAAAATTTACTGAGAGATAACATTATGAGATTCACATACTGTTTTCTTTAAGTAGCTGCTTGCCAGATCATCTGGATCATATTAGAAAATTGTCCTTAACCAATCATTCTTGGAAGAGTTCTTCCCTCCCTCCCCTTTTGTAGTTAAGAGTGTGTCCTAATAACTTGCATAGATGGGCAGCTAGGCTGGTAAAAATGTAGGTAAGAAAGAATTGCCTTAATAGTTTTTGATCTGTGGAGTTGACGTTGGCCCTTGATAGTGTGTGTGTGTGTTCGTGTGTGGACTGTTAGAGGCACAAGGCCAAGCCAGGCCCCTTTTCTGGTCAGTTGACAAAGTTGTTGACCTCTGGATTTGTTGACCAGGCCGGCCAAATATTTTAGGAAAAAAGCACCAAGCAGAGCTCAGAAGCTGCAGCTCTGTCTCAGCAGAGGCAAGAGGTCCTGCAGACCACGGCTGGCTGGTGATTAGTGCTAATTACCTGGGTAATATCTGAGGCCAGAGTGGGGATGCTTGGGACTGCCTTGCCAGAACATCAGGAAAAATGCCAGGTGGAGTCCAGAAGCTGCAGCTCTGTCTCAGCAGAGGCAACAGCTCTTGTAAATCACGGCTAGCTGGTGATTTGGGGGGAAGGTTCGACTACAAGGGTGGATAAGGTGGAGGTCCATTGCTTGGCTTGAACTACTGTAGGTTTGGTTGATTGTGGGTTGTTTTTTTGGGGGGTGCACTATAAATCTGCTGCACAGCTGGTTAGATCCTCCTGCAGGTGGAGAGGAAAGCCAGAGTAAGCTGCAAGATGTGCCTAGGCTGGGGAAGCCCGTTGCGATGGGGAGGTGGGAGGTATGGTGGTGAGGGGACTGTTAGGTTTAGAAGGAGATTGAGGTATGGACATGCTCGGTCCCCTTCTAACCTCCCTCCCATCCCAAGGAATGATGATGTGCAGACCTAAATTTCTTTGCCCTCCTCTTCAGGCTTCACGTTGTGCAGTGTCAGATTGATTATGAATAAGACTGCCTCCCTTAAAGGATTTATTAGAAAAGGCGATTTTGATTTTGCATGCTTGACTGAGATCTGGGTGGACGAGGATGAACTGGTGGTTCGTACTCAACTGACTCCCCCAGGATACTTGGTCCTTCGTCAACCGTGAACAGGAAAACAGAGAGGGTGGGCATCCCCATCCGAGAGTCTTTCTACTTCAAATGGCTTCCTGCATCAAATATTGCTGTCAATGAATGTGTAGGCCTGGCATGGAGTTCCAGGGAGAGGGTGGGAGTCTGGCTGGTTTACCGTCTGCCCAGCTTACCAGCTGACTCCCTGCTGAGGCTGGCTGAGGCGGTGGTGGAGTGGGCCTTGTGCTTCCCCCAAATGATAGTTTTGGGGGACTTCAATGTCCACGCTGACACTGCCTTGTCTGGTGCCTCCTTAGACTTTATGACTGCCATGGCATCCATTAGGAATCTCCCAGGTTGTATCAATCCCCATGCACAGGGCAGGCCACACACTGGATCTGATCTTTAGTGCAGGAATTGATCTGGACTGATCTTTACCTTGTGAAGGTCAGTTTGAGATTTTCCTTCTCCTTCTACAGGGGCGGTGAGCTTATTTACACTCACCCACGGAGACTCATGGATCCAGTTGGATTCCAGAACGCTCTGTAGGATTGGTCTGGCTCTGCTGGCTGCTCTCTTGATGAGTTCACTGATGCCTGGAATCTGGGCCTTCAGGAGGCCATTGACCAAGTTGCCCCCCCCCCCCCAGTGCCCTCTTCACCCCCATACTAACTGGCGTCCCAGGTATACGGATGAACTAAGGAGGTAAAAAGGGGGCTTAGGTAGCTAGAATGGTGCTGGCAATGAACTCGTAATAAAGCAATGAAGCACTTTCTAGAGCCTGATTGAAGGCCTATGAAGTGGCAGTGAAGGCAGCAAAGCATTTTTACTTCTCTGCCTCCGTTGCATCTGCTGCGTCATACCCAGCTCATTTGTTTAGAGTTATTAGGCAATTGACCACC